CCCAGCAAGCCTTCTGAATGTTAGGAGTACAGACATGCACCACCAGCCTGACTACTGTTTGTTTTTTGTTTTCTGTTTTGTTTTGTTTTGGAGTGGCAAAGTTTATTCAAGAAAACAAAAATGAAGAGTGACAAAGTGGTTCTGCAGAGTGAGCTTGGACCAAGTAAATAGAAAAGAGAGAGCAAGGAGAACAGCACACGCTGCCTCTGGGAAACACAGTGTGGGCTATCACAGAAAGTTTCTTGAGGGGGTTATTATTGTTTTTATTTTCTTTCCTGAGGCAGGGTTTTACTATATAGATCAGGCTGACCTCGAACTTGCAACTACTGTCTCAGTTTCCCAAGTGCTGAGATTACAGGCAACTTTATTTTGTTGTCAGTTTTGTTTTTTTGGGACAGGGTCTCGCTCTGTAGTTCAGCTGGCCTTGTACTTACCATGGAGCGCAGGCTGGCCTTCAACTCATGGCAACCCTCCTGTCTCAGCCTCCCAAGTGCTGGGGTTACAGGTGTGTGCCACCACACTCAGCAATAATTACCATTTCTAAGGGGGAAGTAAGTTTCTCTGCCTCTGAAGTGGGGCTGATTTTATTCCCTTTATTTTGGTTTTAGTTCTGTAATTCAGTGTAAGGAAAAGAACACTACTAAGAAATGGAATAACCAGGTGGTGTCCCACAGTGATTTAACATTGTAGGTTTCTGTCCCCAGATCTCACGTCAGGTTACCAGAAGCAAAATTAGAAATTTCAAAGACATTTCATATCTAAGTAGCCCAGAGGCTACAGTAAGTGTAAACTTTGCCACATGATCAGTCCTTCAGTTAGAAGCAGGAAAATAAAAAAAACAGAGGCATGGATGATATTATTTATATATTCTAGAGTGCATTACGTAGATGTGTTTCAGGTTCCTGGTTCATTTTGGAAAGGAGTATGGTGGAAGATTTTAGACTAATCACAAGTTGGGCAGACTGTTGACTTGTAGTTATCCCTTATTTAGCACTTTGCTAAAGTCTCTATGTGAGTAAAGGTCATAATTTTTCTCTTACAGAAAGGAGGAAAACATTATTTTCTCATTATAGGTGTTTGAAAAACTCCAACTTTTCAATTCGGAGTATCAGCCTGAGAAGATTCTAATGCCAATGAATTCTCAACTCAAACTCTACACTAACAGGTAAGGAAAAGGGAAAGGAATGGCCAGGTTTGAACTTTACATATCTTGAGTGAAAAAAAAAAACATTGCATGTGGGGTCAGGCACAGTAGCACATGCCTATGATCCCGGCTGCCTGGGAGACTGAGGCGGGAGGGTCACAAGTTCAAAGCCACCCTGGGAAACTCAGTGAGACCCTATCTTAAATTATTAAAAGGTGCAGTCGGTGTAGCCTAGTGATAGAGGGCTTGCCTCATATGGAAGGCTCTGGGTTCCATATTCCCAAAAATACAAAGAAAAACATTGCCCATGGAAAGAACTACCATTCCCTTTCTTTAGCTGAAGACAAATAATTCACATAACATAAAACTAACCTTTCTTTTTTTTCCATAAAAGGGACTGAACACACGTATGGCTTCCCCTGTGTAGGCAAATGCTCCACCAATGAGGCACAGCGCCAGCCCAAAACTAATCATCTCAAAGTGCAAATTCCAATACTGCATAACTGTCACCTCTATCTAGTTTTATTTTTCTTTTTGGTTTGATTTTGGTTTTGGTTTTGGTTCTGGGGATTGAACCCAGGGCCTTCACACTGAGCTACATCCTAACACTTTCTTACTTTTCATTTTAAGACCGTCTGTCTGAGTTGCTAAGTTGTCCAGGCTAGGCTGAAACTTGCAGCCCCCTGGCCCAGCCCCACAAAGTGCGGGGATTACAGGCATGCACTGCCACTCCTGGCTTCCATCTAGTTCTACATTTCCTTCACCAGCAAAGGAGACTCCATTCCCATTAAGCAGTCACTCCTCATTCTCCCTTCCTCCTAGTCCACCGCAAGCACTTAACTGCTTTCTGGCCAGGCATGGTGGTGCACACCTGTAATCCCAGCACTTGGGAGGCAGAGGCAGGAGGATCGTTGTGAGTTCGAGACCAGCTTGGGCTGCAAAGTGAGCTCAAGTCCAGCCTGAACTGCACAGTGAGACCCTGTCTCAAAAAGACAAAAAAAAAAAAAAATTAAACTGCTTTCTGCCTTTATAGCATTAACTCTTCTGGATATTTCATAGAAATAGAATCATAGGATAGCAACTGTTTGTGTTTACCTCTTTCACTTGGTGTGTTCCTGATGCTACACATTGTAGCATCTATCGGGATTTTATTCCTTTCAGTGACCGATAATTTTCCATTACAGGTATATGAATAAACCACCTTCTGTTTGTCCATTCACCCACTGATGGGCACTTAGGTGACTTTTACTTTTGGTAAGGGCTGGAGAGCAGTGTCTAGCTAGGTAGCCCAGGCTGGCCTTGAACTTGTGATCCTCCTGCCTTAGCCTCCAAGAAGTCTGCTGGGTTTTATTTTATTTATTTATTTATTTATTTATGTATTTATATATTTTTTTGGTGTTTTGTTTTTTTTTTTCCGGTACCGGGAATTGAACTCATGACCTTGCGCTTGCCAGGCAGGCGCTGTGCTGCTGAGCTAAATCTCCAGCCCCTATATTATTTATCTTAAGGAGGACTATTGAACAAAGTTGTTCTTTAGTCATTTTAAAGTGCGGTATTAGCTGGGTTTTAATGTGAACCACCATGCCTGACCTTAGTTTTACTTTTTTGCTACTGTGAACATTCATGTACAAGTATTTGTTTGAATAGTTGTTTTCAGTGATTTTGGGTGAATAAATATTTAGTTTTTGGGGTTTGTTTTTTTTGTGTGTGTGTTTTTAAGACAGGATCTCGCTATGTAGTGCAGGCTGGCCTTGACCTCACTTTGTAGCTCACTCTAGCCTCAAACTCACAATGACTCTCCTACCTCAGCCTCCCAAGTACTGGGATTACAGGCGTGTACCACCAGACCTGGCTTGTTGAATAAATTTTTGATGAAAATATGTCATAGGATTTACATTTTTCCCTCAGTACTGAGAATTGAACACAGGGCCTCATCTAATGCTAAATGTAGCTCTACCACTGAGCTACATTACTAGCCTGGATTTGATTTTTTAAAAGATAAACATAGCAAGGGTGGTGGCTAATGCAATATAATCCCAGCTACTTGAGAAGCAGAAACAGGAAGATCACTTTCAGGCCAAGCCTTGGCAATTTATTTATTTATTTATTTATTTGGTACTGGGAATTGAACTCAGGTCCTTACACTTGCCCAGGCAGGCACTTGTGCCACTGAGCTATATCCCTGGCCCAAGCGTAGGCAATTTAGCAAGACCCTGTTTCAAAGAAAAATTTTAAAAAGATTGGGATCACTAAAAAATAAATAAATAAAAAATAAAAA